ATTCACAATCATGAATTAAAAGGGAGCTAATTCTTTAAATTTTCACCATCGTCATTGTTTTGTTATGCCAGCGGTTCTGATGTCTCTCAGAGGTCATTGTCGTCTACCTAAAAGTGTTCGCCAGACATCATGTTGTCATAGAGGAATTGTCAGGGTCAAGGTGGCTGACATTACTTTGACATTGTGAAAAGCTTCTCCTCCTTTCCAGAGGCGTGCTTCTGTTCTCCAGCGCTGCCGCCGGCTTCGAGAGGGGGAGGGAATGAAATCGAGGGTAGCAGGAGTGATCAATTTGAAAGCTATCAGCACCAGCATGTTCGGAGTGCTGAATTAACACACCACCAGGGACTGTTCCTGGAGCCCACCACGAGCCCTTCACTCCTAATGTGCTAACAAGCTCACTTTTGCCGTCTCTTCAGTGGCAATTTCTCTCTTTCCTTCCAGAGCCCAGGAGTTCAGCGCGGTGACAATGAAAAGCTCAGAAGGAGGGGGGGAAGAGGCCAGGAGTATTTTTCCCCCCTACTGCCTTTCATCCACTGGGAAAATGAGTTTCTGGTAATGCACAAAAGGCTCTTTTTTATCCTCCTCTCCTCTTCTAGCATCTGATGCTAGAGAGGGCGCGAGAACCCGGCACGCACTCTCTTAAAAGGACTTTCTCCTTTTTAACAAGCCGTCATAAAAAAACACCACCCATCAAAAATTCAATTACAGTGGATGCAAGGCCCGGGTTATATGGGTGAATACATGGTGCAAAAAAGAGAGAAGGGAAAAAAGAAGAACTGTTTTTCCTTTACCGATCTCTTTGTGACACACAAAGAGCATCTGAAGTCAACAGCGGAGAGGATTTGTTGTCTTGGTGACAGGGTGGCATTAGAGGCTCATCTCAGGTTCAGGATGGTGACCACATGTTGGGCGGCTCTGAGAGGGCTATTAAGACGCACAGTGGTGCTGCTCAAGCTCTGCTCTCGCTGGTTGGAATGGTTGCCCAGTTGTAGCCGGACTATCGGCTTAAAAGCTGGTCCACTTTGCAGCTTATTCTAGACATGAGGCATCTACGAGTCGTAGTCAAGACTAGTCTCAGTCAGACCCAGACCAGTAACAAACCCCCAAGATCCAGATCTTGACTAATACCGGACAATTCAAAACCAAGACCTCTCAAGACTCTTAGACTTTTAAGTCTAAAACCAGGTTCTTCATTTCAGTGACCTGAAATGAAGAAAAAGCCGCAGCTTTCAAATTCCAGCTTCAAAACTTTTTGTATATTTGTACTTTTTTAAAAATATATATTTTAGATTTTTTAGATCAAATATTTTAGATGTAAATATTTCATCGTCATATTCATGAAATGGCATCTAAGTTTTAACTTCTGTTTTGTGCAGATGTACTCTACTGTCGATTTTTTTTATCTGTCTCACCAAGGCTGCATTTATTTAATCAAAAATACAGTAAGAACAGTAATATTGTGAAATATTATTACACTTTAAAATAACCATTTTCTGTTTAAACATGTTTTAAAATGTAAGTTATTCCTGTGATGGCAAACCTGAATTTTCAGGAGGCATTACTCCGGTCTTTAGTGTCACGTGATCCTTCAGAAATCATTCTAAATTGATTTGGTGCTCAAGAAAAATTATTTTTATCATCAATTTTGTAAGAAAGTAAGAAACTCATCTACATCTTTGATGTTCTGAGGGTGAGTAAATTTTCAGCAAATTTCATATAGGGTGAACTATTCCTTTAAGCAGCGTGACTGAAACTGTAAATCGGCTAAGTGATTTCTCACAGGGTTTGACAGACGTGTCCTGACAAAAGCACCCGTGGAGACCCTGCGGTTTGTGGTTTGAGTGAGCGGACTCCTCTGTGCGTATCCCACCGAGTTGTGTGTGAGGATACGAGAGCTGTTCAGCAGCCGGACAGTGGCTCTCTCTGTGGGGCTGCGGATCCTGTTCTGGGTTTCTTTTGAAAGGTGCCAATGCTGTCCTACAGAGGAATTCTCAGCACAGATAATAACAAGCACACCATGTGGAGAAAATGACTGATCGTGTGTGTAATTAAAATGAGGCGTGTGTGTGTGCAATTTGGGACAGTGTTCTCACCGGGCTCGTCAGTTACTGTCCTGTGTTAATTTGCAAGGTGAGAGCAGGGAATAGCTGTGCTCTCGGAGAGTGGAGATATTGGCCGTACACACATTCGATTGTCCCAGAACTCTTGGATGAACTGATGTTTCCAGGCACAAATGTCCTTTGAGATGCCCCATTTTTATTTGTGTTCATATTGTATTTTATTATTCATTTAGACATCAGTTCAGTATAATGAATATGTTGTAGCTGAAATAGAAAATTGGATTTTAATTGAGGGGACAAACTGGATGCAGAATTAACTTAAAGGGTTAGTTCAACCAAAAATGAAAATTAGCCCATAAATTACTCGCCTAATTGGAGTGAAATATTATTACACTTTAAAATAACCATTTTCTGTTTAAACATGTTTTAAAATGTAAGTTATTCCTGTGATGGCAAACCTGAATTTTCAGGAGGCATTACTCCGGTCTTTAGTGTCACGTGATCCTTCAGAAATCATTCTAAATTGATTTGGTGCTCAAGAAAAATTATTTTTATCATCAATTTTGTAAGCGGTTGTGCTGCTTAATAACGGAAACCATGATACATTTTTTAGGATTCTTTAATTAATAGAAATTTCGAATAAAGCAGCTGTTATTTGGAACAGAAATCTTTTGTAACATTATAAATGTCTTTACTTTAAAATTTAATTAATGCATCCTTGCTGAATAAAAGTAATAATTTCTTTAAAAAAATGTACTTACCCCATACTTTTGAATCTTTTGAATGGTAGTTATATTATTACATTTATGTTGTATATACAAGTCTGATTAATTTCTTATGTATATAGGATTTTGTGTATGTATTTTGGCTGGCAAGTTTTGTGAAATATAAATTAGTCTGTGGCTGCTGAATTATCTGTTAGTGGTTCATGAGACAGTGGCACTTTTAGTTTTAATAATTTGGAAGTGCAGAACAGGGAGGCCACAGCTGATGTCTTGAATTCATTTGTAGCAGTCGTGACTGAATGTTTCAGTCAGTGAGACCATATGAATGCTATTCTAAGCTGTTAACACGGCTGTCAAGACTGTCACGGCTCTGTCATGTTCTGCGTATGGTTGTAGTACAGCATGTGTCTAATTACGTCGCACCCACAGACACTTTCTCTAGCTGCTTTCTCTTCTCCTCTGTGGGAACCTCTCACCCACTCGCGCTAGGGTTCGCTCTCAAACAGCGGGACCCGTCGGCAGGAAACAGGTCTGCTGGAGACAGGAAAAGGCAAACGACAGATCTACGTGAGTGTTGCGTTTCCTAACGGAGACGCTTCCTACGTGTTCCTCTTCACCGGCAGACACACCCAAAGAACTAGAGCTGAGAATATCTTCCCCCTGCCTCGTCCCAGCAGGACCTCAGTTTCTCGCTCCGTTTCTCACCGCTCCTCCATCAAGTTTCTCCAGTGACGCAGCATCCGTCGTGATCCGAACCGTGTGCTCTTGGCTTACTAAGTTATGAAACATGTTTTAAAATGTAAGTTATTCCTGTGATGGCAAACCTGAATTTTCAGGAGGCATTACTCCGGTCTTTAGTGTCACGTGATCCTTCAGAAATCATTCTAAATTGATTTGGTGCTCAAGAAAAATTATTTTTATCATCAATTTTGTAAGCGGTTGTGCTGCTTAATAACGGAAACCATGATACATTTTTTAGGATTCTTTAATTAATAGAAATTTCGAATAAAGCAGCTGTTATTTGGAACAGAAATCTTTTGTAACATTATAAATGTCTTTACTTTAAAATTTAATTAATGCATCCTTGCTGAATAAAAGTAATAATTTCTTTAAAAAAATGTACTTACCCCATACTTTTGAATCTTTTGAATGGTAGTTATATTATTACATTTATGTTGTATATACAAGTCTGATTAATTTCTTATGTATATAGGATTTTGTGTATGTATTTTGGCTGGCAAGTTTTGTGAAATATAAATTAGTCTGTGGCTGCTGAATTATCTGTTAGTGGTTCATGAGACAGTGGCACTTTTAGTTTTAATAATTTGGAAGTGCAGAACAGGGAGGCCACAGCTGATGTCTTGAATTCATTTGTAGCAGTCGTGACTGAATGTTTCAGTCAGTGAGACCATATGAATGCTATTCTAAGCTGTTAACACGGCTGTCAAGACTGTCACGGCTCTGTCATGTTCTGCGTATGGTTGTAGTACAGCATGTGTCTAATTACGTCGCACCCACAGACACTTTCTCTAGCTGCTTTCTCTTCTCCTCTGTGGGAACCTCTCACCCACTCGCGCTAGGGTTCGCTCTCAAACAGCGGGACCCGTCGGCAGGAAACAGGTCTGCTGGAGACAGGAAAAGGCAAACGACAGATCTACGTGAGTGTTGCGTTTCCTAACGGAGACGCTTCCTACGTGTTCCTCTTCACCGGCAGACACACCCAAAGAACTAGAGCTGAGAATATCTTCCCCCTGCCTCGTCCCAGCAGGACCTCAGTTTCTCGCTCCGTTTCTCACCGCTCCTCCATCAAGTTTCTCCAGTGACGCAGCATCCGTCGTGATCCGAACCGTGTGCTCTTGGCTTACTAAGTTATGAGTGCAGCACAGACCATATGCCACCGGTCTACTTAATCAAATCGTCCCCATTAACAGAATCCCTCCGTTTTTAAACCCATACAGCGACATAATCCAATCCCTTCCATTTACTCAATACCATCATTTTTCTTAACCGAATAACACAGACAGTAAGCTGTCCATTGATACCCAATGTCACCATACGTAAAGCAATGACAGCTTCGTAATACGGTTTACAGTATGATGGGAGAATTATTAACCCATGGCATCCTGGCTAACTGTTTGACCCCTATTGATGTGTTTTTGTCGCTTATGAAATCGATGCACCAATCTTGTTTGACTTTAACTCGTATGTTTATCAGCTACGAAGAGAGAGCGAGATATCTGGAGACGATAGTCCAGCAACACTTGGAACCGACAACGTTTGAGGACTACGCAGCTCGTGTTTTCTGCCCTGCACCTTTCCACCATCTTCCCTCTGAAGCAGGTGGGCATTGACTAAATGAATCGATTCTTAATCATCTGTCATTTTACACCACTCACTGTTCACCTTCACTCACAATTTCATTCAGTTCCAGGCTTATAGAATCACATGCACACGTAATTTCTGTCCAGTCATTACATTTACATTTTCATGCATTTTGCAGATGCTTTTATCCGAAGCAACACTGCATTCGATATACAAAAACACTACCATTCAAAAGTTTGGTGTCATTAAGTTTTTTTGGTTTTTGAAAGAAGTCTGTTATGCTCACCAAGTCTGCATTTATTTGGTCAAAAATGCAGTAAAAAAAAAACTGTAAAATTGTGATATATTATTACATTTCAAACACCAACTGGAGTTATCACTGTTGATAACAGTCATGCTGCTTTACACACTCTAAAAAATGCTGGGTTGTTTCAACCCAACTTTGGGTCAAATATGGACTAACCCAACCGTTGGGTTAAATTTTTACATTAAATTTTTAACCCAAAAGTTGGGTTAGTCCATATTTGACCCAAAGTTGGGTTGAAACAACCCAGCATTTTATGAGTGTATTGTTGCAGAAACCGTGATGCATAGAAAGTGAAAAAACAGCATTTATTTGATTCGATAAATGTCTTTACAGTTACTTTTGACCAATTTAATGCATCCTTGCTGAATACAATTTCTTACAAAACAAAATCTTACTGACCTCAAATATTTTAACATGAAGTACCGTTTTCTGCGAATCAAAGCTATGGCCTTGGCATTGCTAGTGTCATGCTCTACTATTTGAGCTACAGGAATGCTAACATTAAAATGAACATGGCAGCTGAACTTGAAGCAAAGGCAGTCCAGAAGTAGCCTTAAGCCCTTTTTTGTGGAAGAAATTTCTGAGAAAACAATTGCAAATGAAAATAATTTCAAGAGAATTCATTGATCATTTCCCCCAATCACTCACTGAGAATGTAATACACAAATAGAGTCGTTATTCAAGCCTTTCATTCACATGCATGACTATACACAAATTAATTTGTGTTTTAGTTCAGTCATTGCAACACAATTTGCTTTTGGGCTGGAAAACGATCTTTAGTTTTGTATTTTATGCAAATCGAGTTGTTTTTCAAACCCAACGCTTTTATTCTGGCTTTTGTGTTGGGCTCCTGGTACCTTCTAATCCCAAATGATCATTTTTCTTTTCTTTTTTTCATTCCCATTTAATTTTTGTTATTTGTTATTTTGTTTATTTTGTTTCCCCTTCAGATCATAATCTTTCACTTGTGTGTATCTAAAGGTAAGATTCCTAAAGATGCCATACACTGAGGCTGCCTGATTGTCTTTGCGTTTGTTTGGCTTGTAACGACGTTATGAGCTTCTTCTCTTTTCGCTTCATCTTGTTTGTTCGATTCCTTTCTAGACTGAAACGTGTTCCCTTCTTTTTCCATGTTTTCTGTGTTTTGTTCAATGGGAAGTCTGGAGCATTCATTGCATGGCATGTTCACACAAGATCCCTAATACTGACCAACATTTACACTCTTCTTCACCTCTCTCTAGGTTCCTAGCATTCATGTGTGTGTCCAGCATGATCTCACAGCTTCACTCACCTCATCTTCTATTCTTTATATCACACATATGTCTGTGTATCTGTGTAAATGTTGAATGGAGTCACCAGAATGGTACAGTATAACAGCTCTCATGTGGATAATAGAGCTCAGCAGTAACAGCTGCCAACTTTTTTAGCAGCCTTCGTTCCGGAAGTATTTTTCCTGTTCCGTAAGCGTTTTTGAAGATTCCTTATAAAGAGTTCTTCAACCAACTCTTGATTGAATCACAACATATCAAAGAAAAAGGTGCAAAGTCTCTTAGGAGTGGAATTAACTATATGTCACATAAATCACTGCAGATCATAATTTAATCTGAGATTTTTCTGCCTGACTATTTTACCAATACATTCTTTTCAGTAAACACTACTACCACTGTGCTGTAATGCGAACATCCAGTTTAAATGATTGCCTTTACAACATGTCTGTATAATTTTTTTATTTAATTTTATTCATAAAGGACACATTGTTTAAGTGCTAAAATTGATTAAATGTCACAGTTAAGGCATTTATAATATTACAAGAGTTTTCGGTTTCAAATAAATGCAGTTTTTTTTTTTGTTACTTTCTATTCAGCAAATAATACTGAAAAAATTATGTCATGGTTTCCATAAACGCCTTAAGCAGCACAACGGTTTTCAATAAATCATAAGAAATTTTCTTGACCTTGACGACTGGAGTAATGATGTTGAAAATCTTTGCATTACAGAATAAATGTAATTACTGCTAATTTTAAAATATATTCAAACAGAGAACAGTTATTTTAATTTTAGTAATATTTCACAATATTACTGTTTGATTGTATTTTTGATCAAAGCATTAAAAATGGTAGTGTACGTGATCTCTTTTTCAACAGAGCTCATGTGTAGGTCTTTTTTTAGATATTTCTATAAATAATGTTGCATTATGTGAGTGGCATTTTACTTCCGGAACCCTACTGCTGAGCATGATTGCTTTACAGAAGTCATTCAGGTACAACTTTTGCAGATGATTTCCTTGTATTATTCAAAACCACCGGAGAGTGTTACATGTGGTGCAGTATCGTTTCAGTGAGGTTGGTGTCACAGCATTCGTTTTTAGACTTTAGCTACTAGTGGGTGGTAATCCTGACATCTTTTTGCATTGTGTGTGTGTGTAAGTCGAGTGGATGAGCGAGTGTGTGTATGAATAATAAACCTTCATGAGCGTGTGGAGAGATCAGCTCTTGCATTTGTTGACTTGTATTTTATGTGCACCTGCTACTGTTTTCCCTCTCAGCCTGCTCACACCTTTATCTTGTATCTCTTCTTCTCTTTTTCTTCCTCCTGTCTGATTTGTATTCTTTCTCTACTTTCTCTTACATTCCACATCACTTTGCGTCTTTCCTGCCCCTCTCTCGTCGCCCTTTCTATCGGCCACTTCTGTCCATTCTCGCACCCCAAGAGAGAAATGCTGTGATTTTTCTGCTCCTTCCCAAACCTCAACTAGAAAACATTGGGCTCATCAAGGTAAAGGGAAAAGGCTTGAAACGGAAGGTCTTTCACGCTAGCTGTGAATGGTATGCTGGAACTGAAAACGGCAAAGTACCTTCTCTGTTTTTTTCCTCCCCATTCCTCTTTTACTATGTAGTTTGTGTTGCGATATTGTAACTGCACCCCTGTTGGTCTCATTGAGGGACGAGGTGTCAGAACTCAGCGTTGATTAATCCCAGCATCCCCTGTGATTCGCTCTGTGAACTTCACCCACAATACACTGGTGCATTAACCTCTCACTCCCCTCAGGAAGGAGTTTTCACACTTACTTTGCTCTCTATTGGTTACTTCTGGCCTTTATTTACCATTTGCCAAAATTAGTCTAACCGAGAGGTTTTTCCCGTTCCAATCTGAGTGAAATTCACAATGATCACAAAAAAGTCTTTAATACAGACATTTATTTCCCCCATTTCAACCCAAAATGTATTTTATATTCCAATTCACAAACCCAAGCTAAATGAGATGAGATGTCACATTCGAGATGTACAGTAGATGAATTTAGCGTGTGAACGATCTTGCGTCGTGACGTTCTGATCTCTGTCTTTTCTTCTTCCTCCACCCCATCCCTCCCCGACAGGCTCATGCCTCGAGAGTCAGCTGGCCGAAAGTCCAGCAATACAAGTAGACGGGAGCGACTTAGCCTCGCCAATGTCACCTCGTGCTAGCAAGAGCCGGATGTCCATGAAGCTTCGCCGTTCCTCGGGCTCCGCCAACAAGACTTGACCTGAGTGAGCAAAAACACACACTTCACTCCGGAACTCCGCCCACTGCACTGTCAGAGACCAACCACGCCCTCTTGCCTGCAGTAGCCACGCCCCCCTGTATGAACAGTATCTGATCTGTGTACATATTTAACAGTATTTAAATCAACCAAAAAAAAAAGTCAAAAGGCCACTTGGAACAAGTCAAAAAACAAGTCTTCAGCTTGAATGTCTGTCTGTATGGCTAGATTTTTGCTGGACTCTGTCCCGTCGTTTTGTTTCATTGCATAGCAGCCTTAGAGACGAGCCCATGCAGGTTTATCAGCATAAATCATTTGACTGCAACACTCTTTTTGATTCATCTCATTTTAGATGGGATTTTTAAGGAAAGTGTGAATGAGTTGCCACATTAACAGGGAGATGGCAACGTTGCCAAATTGAACCGAATTACCCGCTTGAGGACTTTTCGAGCTAGTTCTACAGTGGACGACGTGTTTTGAGACATTTGAACAGCCTTTTTTTCCTAAATGTGTAGATGTGGAAGTGTACAAAAAACATCACTGACACTAGCTTTGGTCTGCACTTTTCCGTTTAATTTTGAACGTTTAAGGGATATAAGGGTATCTGGCCCTGTAGACTACGGATGCAAGTTATAACTGTTGCCATGTTTAAGATAAAATCCAGTTTGTATATTTTCTTAAAAGCTATGTGAAACTTCACGAGGGTCAGATTTTATTATTTTTCTTTTTAATTTGAAATCATTTAGAAATTTATCAGAAAAAAAAAATATTTGTGGAGATGAAATCATTCAGCACACTTCTGGATTGAAATTATAACGTGTATATTAAAGGCCTGCACACAAGCAACTGAGACCTGTGCATAAATTCAAGAGGGGAAAAAAAACATCCTCATGGATAGATTTTGTGTATGTTACTACTGACCAAATGCTGCATGATTCCAGTACTAACTGCATGTGTTGATATAACAGCTGCACAACACACAAGCACACGCACAGATCCACAATATTGTCATATGCTAGTATCTCTATACATTTGTATCGGATGTCGAAGGAGAGTGGATGTGCAACTACACTTGAGAATAAAAGTATTCTTACAACATAGCAAATCCTGTGCAGTTACTGGGTGCATCAAATATTTTACCAGTTGTGATTTTTTTTTTTTTTTTTAAGTGTACTGATTTCTATTTTTCAGTTTTAAGCAGAAGCTCCAGGTGGATTTGTGCAAATAACACACATGCTACATTTAAAAGGATATTTGAAGACAGTTTGATTTATTGACCTCTTCATTTCCCCCGTAACAGCTGAAAATGACTACATATGAAAATATAAATATGACACTTGTGGTTTATTACATGTAGGCCTCTAATAGTCTTGATGTATGCTATGGCATTTCCTGGCAGTTATGATATAAATAAATTTTTTTGCAGCTATTGTTGTCAATTAAAGTATAATGAAATGCACAGTACCTTCATGACCTAGAAATCAAAGCACCTTCTAAGACGATTGAGACTACATAAGCTTTCCATGGGAGCTACTTTTACAATGAGACACAAAATATATTGATTCACTTTTCCCATATTATAAAGACATATTAATGAAAAACCTGCTGTGAGCCTTGAGTCTCAAGCCTGATAGATTTGGTGTTTTCCCGCTATAAACATGAATTAAATTAAACCTGCGTTTTATAGCGGGAAAACATTAAGTACCTTTAATGAGTAACAGTTTTTTTTCTTCAGTAATAATTTATATAGATGTGAAGCAAACCTGTGGTTATAATAATCAAATTTGAATGTATATGAGCAAAGTATTATAGACCGGGTTCTCATAGTCATGGAAATATCTGAAAATTTCAAAGAATTGAGATTTCCATGCCCAGAAAAGTTACAAACATTAAGAAATTATTAAAATTACTTTTAAAATGTAAAAAATCCATAGAATTTTTTAATATTTAACATCTATATTTCTTGGTTTTCTCAGTTCGGATACATTTAATTGACAAGAAAAAAAAACTTGATTTTTTTTTACAATTATTTTTAAAATGAAAAAGCCATAGAAATTTCAATATTTAACATCTAGATTTCTTGTTATTCTCAGTTCTGATACATTAACTTGAAAAAAATCCTTGATTTTTTTTTTGTAATTAATCTTTAAAATAATAAAAGCCACGAGAAATTTCTATAGTTAATGTGAACTATTTCTATAGTTAATATAGTTCTCATCTCTTGATTTAATTGAATATATATGTATTTTTGTATGTGTGTGTGTGTGTGTGTGTGTATACACATACATACATATATACATATATATAGAGAGAGTATCAACTGGGAAATTCATTCTCAAAAATGAAGGAACCCTGTATATAATGTCTGTTAATAACCTGCTGTACTAATGGAAGTTATAAAGTAATACCCATGATTATCAAAGGTAACATAAACTATTTCTGCTGTCGACAAAGAAAACCTGCAAGTTCGATATTCCCACATAAAGACACTGGACCTATTATTAGTGATAATATCAACAACAAGCCGTTAGACACAATCTGAAGTGTTTGTGAGATCAGCATCCCGGCCTGACGGCCATCTGTAAGAGCATCACCTGTCTGTTCTCTGTGGGATGAGTCTTGTTGATGTGTCTGGTCAAACCCGGAGAACTGAAGAACGTGGAGGGACAGTGTTTGCATGAGAATATCTGCTGTTCTCCAGGACTCAGATCAGGTCTGAGGAGTAAGTCATCTCTGACCGCGTGCCAGAGTCGGTGTTTGTCCCTGATCTCAGCGGAGGGGAAGTGCGCTCCGCACAGGTGACACGGGAAAGTGATCTGTCCGCTTTCAATGTGAGCGTATGAGGATGCTCTGATCGTCTCGTGCGCGGCCAGGTGTTTCCTCAGGTAGGCTTGCCTGCGGAACTTCTTGCTGCAGTAGTGGCACTCAAACACTTCTTCCGGAACAGACGAGGGCAGGTAGGGGGTGCTGGACCTGTCGGGCTCCTCGGGGCAGTGATCGAACAACCTCGAGCTGTCCGCGGAGCCGATACGCATCTCAAAGCATTTCTCCGAGGACGGGAACCTTTGGTCCAGAGGAGGGTCTTGGGATCCCCTGTCCGTCATGTTGCTGTCCGGTGCTGATCTGTGCTGTTGGGAGCTGTCCGGACTCAGCTGGTGCTGATTGTTCAGTCTCAGCTTGCTGGCGTTCTCCTTCCCCTCCACTGAGGTCTTCTCGTTGTCGCGCGCCTCCAGCGGAGACTTCTTCGCGTCTCCTGTGCTAAGGTTGCGAGGTTTGTGCCATCTGCGATGGGACGCGAGGTTGGCAGGACAGCTGAAAACTTTGTCGCACTCCGGACAGCGGTACTCAACCCGGACGATCCTGGAGCACTTGTGCTGGGCTAGAGAAAACGGATCAAGGTATTCTTCCTTACAAAGCTGGCAGATGAACTCACCGAGCGGTTTTTTTCTACCACTTTGCGGTGCTAGTTTTGATTCGGGGCATTCTTTTTTGATTTTAAGCCCGAGGACCGGTGAGGTGGTGACTTCGTCTTCAAAATTGAGCTTTCTGATGACTTTAGGCTTTTTGGGTGGTTTGCTTTTGCGCTCTGAGTCCATGAACGCGCGTTTTACGCACTGGTGAAAAGCAGGGTAGGTGGGCACCGATGAGGGCATCGGTGTGCCAAACTTCATGTCAGAGTGGTTCATTAGCAGACGCTCGATTGAAGACACCGGGGTGGCCAAGGGGAACGACTCGGCCATGGCTGGTGAGCTGAGACACCTGTCCAAAAGCTCCGTGCTGATGGGTTTGATCGGGCTGTAGGAGTCGGTGCTGTTGCGCGGAGATGACGCGCTCTGCTCCGGGTGGCTGAAGTAGCTCTGTGCGTAATCGACGCTCTCTCCAACAACCCCTCCAGAGTCCTCCAGAAGATGTTTAGAGCTTACATCACTTGTCCATGATTCTGTAATAGGTTCCAGCACATCCGGCACACTTGCATTTGGAGTTTGGAATGGCAGGTCCTCTTTGCTCGGCTCTTTTTCTTCTTGCGCTCGCACCTTGTAGGATGCAGATGAGGCACGTTTACTCCGTTTCACTAAAAATCCTCGTGGCATCTTCACCCAAAGTCCAGATGAAACTACTGAGGAGAAGATGCGGGCTGGATACTGTCGCCGTGATGCGCCCCGCGCGCGTTTTATCCTTTGGGTCGCCTTCAGGTTCTGTGTGAGGTCACTCTCAGTGCCGCAGTTGTGCCCAATCAGTGCTGACATTCACGAGGAGGGGGCGAGCATTAATGAGCTGTTCCAGTTACGGATTCATTTCTAATGGGCAGCAGATTGTTATCTCAAAGGTCTCAAGGGATCGATGGGCTCTTTAACCTTCCCATGTTTTACAGTTTACTGTTCAATAATGTGAGATCAGTCCACCGAACAATTTTAAATATGCTACCCTGTCCCAAGATAAAATAATATTTTCATTATCATAGTCATTTTTGTCCATTTTAAATAAAACGCTTAGAAATTATATTCATAATTTGTATTTATTTATTAGTACTTATTTGTAGATTTTTATGTAAAATAATTCATTATTTTGAACGTACAACGTTACTATCGCAGTGTTTTCTAAAACAACAGTACAGGCTGCAATACAAGAATAGATCATATTGTAATTGGTGGCCAAACAGTGAACGCTGGGAATACGCGCCGCTGGTTTTCTCATGTTGCGGGTGTTTGGGGTCAGTCAGGCTGCTGATAACCTGCAGAAGCTGCGGACGCTGATAACAGACGCAGCTCTTTATTCTGTGGAGCAGGGGGCGGATGGATGCTGAAGCCACAAACCTGTTACCATCCCATTATGCTGAGCTGGGATTCTCCTCCCAGGATACTCATCTGGACGGCAAACGAGCGCGAGAAAGCGCCGGTGGAGACGCCTGGCCGGTTTATTGAGGAGACGATCATTTACACAGTGGTTAAAGAGAGTTTACTGATTTAGAACATAGTAGCATAAAATTTCAGTCTGATAGATAGATAGATAGATAGATAGATGGATGGATGGATGGATGGACGGACGGACGGACAGATAGATAGGTGGACGGACGGACAGACAGACAGACAGACAGA